ATTAAAAAAAAAAAAAAAAAAAAAAATATATATTAAATTAAAATAATAATTAATTCAAAAACATCATCTATTGCAACAGTTTTTTTTTTTTTTTAATTTATTTTTTTTATTCCTTTAAAAATATAAATATTATTTTTTTATTTTCTTATTTATTTATATACCCAAAATAATATTTATTACACATCCAATTTTATTTTTTTTTTTTTTTTTTCCTCAATTGTGTTTATTTTTTTAAAATTTTTTTATTTGTCTATTAAAAATTTTAAAACACAGTAAAACACAACACCCACCACAAACCAATAATTTGTTTTATTATTTCAAAGTCATTTTTAAAAAAAAAAAAAAAAAAATATAAACAAATAAAAAATAAGATAAACAAATAACTAATTGTACTTATATTTTAAACAATCAAATCTCATTCTTATTCTTATTAATTTTATCTTTTTTTCTTTATCAAAGTATAAATTTTTAGTTTTAATAACCTTTAAAAATTTATAGTTTATTTCAGTTAATAATTGTAAAATAATAAAAAAAAAAAAAAAAAATCAAAGATACAATTAAAAAAAATAAGAAATAATAATTCTAATTTAAAAAAATTATAGCAATAATAGTATAAATAAAAATATAGATAATATAGATTATAAAATTAATAATAATTAATAACCATTTTAAAAATATTCAAAAATGGACAATAATATCCAAAGTATTTTGCACTATCCAACAACTAATGGCTTCTCTTCCGTTGGTCACCACTATGGGTCAAAATCTATTCAACAACACTCACCACACTCATCAATTCCAAATATATCTACCGAAAATGTCGGTGATTTATATTCACCAGAACCATCTCCTTTTAATGCAAACTTTAATATCAATGGGGGTTTTATAAACTACAATAACAGTACCTCTTACTACTCACCCATGCAAACCTCCGCCCATAATTATAGTAATGGAAGTAGTGCAAATACTGGTAATAATCATAACTATAATAATGATCATTGTAATAATAATAGTAGTAATAGTAATAGTGGTAGCAGTAATATGCTACCTCTAAATGACTTACATTACAATAATAATAACAATAATAATAATTTAAATCACCATGTAAATGGAAACCTTCCCCCCTTACCAACATTTCCCTCGTTAAACGATAGCTCAAGTGGTATACTTATCTCTCATAATAATAATAATAATAATATTCAATCTAACAATGTTGTAAATAGTCATCATCATAATAATAACTCCAACCATGCCAGTAGTAGTAACAGTGGTAACCATGCCTCATCACATAATAACAATAATAACCAAAACAATACACCCTCAACACCAGCACAAAACAATATTGCCTCCCAACCAACCACTCCATCATCTACACCAAACCAAAGATACTCATTTCCTAATGGTCAAAATTCTTTTCTTAATCAATTTCAATCACATTTAGATGCAAAATTAACAAACTTTTGGTCAACTCAGGTCAAGGATATTAATAAAACTGATGATTTTAAAAACCACGAATTACCATTAGCAAGAATTAAGAAAATAATGAAATCTGATAAAGATGTTAATGTAACTATAAACTTAATAGCATACTACTTAAACCATTGGTTTTCATTCTAATATTCATTTTATTTAAAAATTAGAAAATTTCATCAGAAGCTCCCATATTATTTGCTAAAGCTTGTGAAATTTTAATATTAGAAATGACCCACAGATCATGGATTCATACTGAATTAAATAAAAGGAGAACATTACAAAGAACCGATATCATAAACTCGTTATCAAAATGTGAAACATTTGATTTCTTAATAGATATGTTACCAAGAGAAGAAATCAAAACCTCTAAAAAATATTTGGATGAATATTCAAGAGCCCAAATAACTACTCCAGAGTATTTACAGTTTGTACAATTACAACAAATGGCAGAAAATCAAATATATAAAAATATTAATCCATCTCATGCTAACTTTCAACCACAAAACCATCAGTTTCACATAATTAACCAAAATCAAATTGCTGGTTTAAAAAGATCCTATTCAATGGAAATCCATAACTCATCAAACAACAATCACCAATCGAGCTCAAAAAAGAGAAGTAACTCACAAGACTATAACTTTCACTACAATGAATATCAACAACAACAACAAAACAACCAACACCAACAACAATTAACACAACAAGCTCAACAACAACAACAACAACAACAACAACAATTACAACAACAACAACAACAACAAATTCAACAAACCCACCAACAACAAACCCAATTGCAAAACAATAGCATATCATCATCATTTAACGATAGCAATGTGCCAACAAGTAGCAGTCACCATTCATCATTTGACTATTCTTTTAACGATCAAAACACAAGTAGCGACGAACACCAATTTCATTTAAATGATACAAATAACCATTTACATATTTCACATGACTCCTCATTAAATATATCACCAAATAATGAACTTTCATCCTCCCCATCGTCGAGCCAAATCTATAATTCATATAGTCCATAACTACAAATAATATAATAAATATCATATTGATAAACACATATTAATAAATCTATTTCCTTTTAAAAACGCCATATTCTTTTTTTTAGTTTTTTTAAAATTTACATTTATTTATTTATTTTATTTTCGTTCGTAAAATATTTAGTTTTTGAATAATCGACTTTATTCTTTAATAAAACACCCTTTAAATGTTTAGCAACTCTTTCGTCACCCTCTCTTATATTAAAATCGATGGCTTGATCCAAATATTGAACTGCTTTAAATCCTGGTAATTTATTAAATGGTAATACATTCTTTGAAACGTTTGAAAGCTTTGCAGTTTTAACAAAACCTTTAATTTCTTCAAATTCTCTTTCTATTTCTTGTTTTTCATTTTCTATTTTGATATTCTGTCCCTTTTTCTTTATTGATTCCTCATTGCTGTTGGTTTCTTCGCTTTCATTGTAATCTTTGACACCAATCTGCTTTAACCATTTATTTTCACTTACTGATCTAGTATTTGCAAAAGCTACAATAAAGCCACCTGGATTTAATAGTGGTATTGATAAATCGAGTAAATCCCTATATCTATTTTTAGTTGTAAATGTACCAAACTTTTTACTTCTTGCAAAAGTAGGTGGGTCCAATACTATAACATCGAATCTTGTTGATTTATGCTTCATCTCCTCGAGCTGGGTAAACAAATCCTTTTGTACAAATCTATGGAAATTTAGAGGGATACCATTTAGAGCAAAATTTCTTTCGGCAGTTTTGAAATATTTGTCAGAGATATCGATATTGTATGATGAAACTTTATATCCTCTTACACTTGGTGCTAATGAAAATGCGCATGTATGAGCAAATGTGTTTAATATTGATCCACTTTCTCTATTTTTAAATAAATCTGAAATGATTTGTTTGTTTTCTCTTTGATCTAAAAACAAACCGGTTGAGTTTGGATCCAATAAGTCGATATATAATTTCATACCATTCTCCTCAACAGTCAATGTGCTTTGATTCTTTCCATCCAATTCATATTTTGCTCCCATGTAATGTTTTGATGATGGTAATACTTTTTTTAAATTTTTTCTCCAATAAACTCCTTTCTTTCCAGTTTCTTTTAATAAATAGTCTGAAATAGTATTCATATAATTACTCCAATAATCTGAAAATGTCTAAAATTAATAACATAAATGAAAAGTATTAGTAAACATACAATAATAATAAGATACAAATTTATTGATAAATACAGTAATATTAATATAATCTCCATAAACATCAACATTTAAGCCAGATAAACCATCTGAACCATCGTTAACCAATCTATATGCTGCTCTTGATCCAATATCGAGTTTATTTTCATTTGATAAATTTTCTCTGAATTCCATAGCTTTTTTTAATGATTTTCTAATTAATAAAATAGTTGTTAATACATGGATGATTTACTTTTAAATGTATATTGTAACAATGATTTTTGTTATTATTTAAAGCCTACTCTATATATGATCTTGAAAATGGTTCATTACCAAAATTCATAATTCTAATTTGAGGTTCTATATCTTTATCAACCAAAGCAATACCACACAATGATTTATCTTCATTTATAAAATTTATAAAACCACTTCTACTTCCAAACTCTTTTATAAAAGATTCGCTTAAATTGTAATTTTTCCCAATTAACTTTTTTTCTAATGATCCTGCTATTTTTACATATTTATCCATTTTGAAATATTTATAAATTGAATCATATGAAAACAATCTAAATTAAAAAAAAACGAAAAAAAAAAAAAAAAAAAAAAAAAAATTAATTTTAAAAAATTAAATTTTTTATTTTTAAAATTTTTTTAAATTTTATAATTAAATTAATATAAATATAATAATATAAATACTAAGAAATAATAACTGTTGTAAAAATAATAAAATTAATATTATTTTATAATAAATTTATATTTTTTTCAAAAATTTTTTTATTTTTTCATTTTTTATTTTTTTATATTTTTAAAAATTAAAAAATATTTTTTTATTATTTTTTTAAATTTAAATTGTATCATTATCGAATTAAAATTTTATAAAATAATATAAATTAATAAAATAAACTAATAATATAATATAATAATAATATAATATAGCAATATAAATCAATCAATATATCTAAATAAATAAAATGGCCAAAAAAAAAACTAAATTCAGCGATGATGAAACAGATGATAGATCAGATGGAGGTGGTGGAGATAATCAAAGTGAAGACGATGATGAATTAGAAGATGATTTTGAAGATGACGAAGAATTATTAGATGAAGATGATGAAGAATTAATGGATGAGGATGATGAAGATGAAGATATTGGTAGTATGGGTGGTGAAATGGAGGATGACATTGGCAGCGAAAGTGATGCAACAACCACAAGCAGACAAAGAGATATTAAAAGGGGTAGCAAATTAGATATAAGTATTTTAACCCCATCTTCAGGTGGAAAGAAAAAAAAAGAACTAACAGAAGAAATGAAACAGAAAAAGAGTGAATTAGCCATACAAAGAAGAAATAAGAAAATTGAAGAAGATGAAACAATGATGAGAGATGTTGTCAATCAATTGTTTTATAGAAAAGCTGCAACAAAAGAATCCAATATAGAAGAAGAAAAAAAACCCTCAAGACATGTAATTATAGTTATGTTATTGTTTAAAACAATACCAAAAATATACTAACATATTAACAAATTAATTTAGGACTTATATATAAAAGATAACAAAGGTAATACAATATGTTATAAAGATACACCTGAAGAAGGAAAAACTATATCATACCCAATGGGACATCCAATGATTGAAACTATTGAAAAAGATATAAATATTTCTAAAATACAACAACAACAACCCCAAAAACCTATACCTATTAAATGTGCTGTTGAAAATTGTAATAGAAATAAAAGATACAATTGTCCAAAAAACAATTTACCAGTTTGTACGATGGAATGTTATAAAAAAATAATGAACCAAGAAAAACAATAATAAAAATAACAAATTAAAATAAATGAATCCTTTTTTTTTTTTAAAACTTAATATAAACCTAATTTAATAGTTTATATCATTTGTATATAAAATTTTTTATTAATATAATTTAAATTATTAAAAAAATAAAATATTTAATATAAATTTTATATAATAATATTTAAATTTAAAAGTATGTTTAATTTTATAGTAATTTGGAGGAGGTCCAAGATGGAAGAGGAAAAGAAGGAGAGGAGTTTTATTTAATTTTATTTTAATTTATTTATTATTTATTTTATAAGTATAGTACAAATTATTTATATTATTAATTATTTATTATTTATGTGTATATTGATTTTAAACACCTTTAAAATCAATAAAACATTGATGAATTTCGGTAATACTATTCATTGCAAAAGGTCCAAACTTTACAATTGGTTCATTTAAAATCTCTGCTGAAAAAAACATTATTCTAAAATTGTTATTTGAAGTAATTTGTATTAATCTATCTTCTTGGACTAATTCTGTACTATTAATATCGTCATATTCATCGGACTCTTTGAACTTTTTTGAATTTTTATTATTATTAAATACAATGAAATGACCTTGGTCAATTAATTTAGATTGATTGATGGAGATTGAACCACTTAGGACTAGGATGAATGAATTTGAATTACCACATAGATTGATGCTAATTGGTTCAGAGAATAGTTGATCTTGGTTTATGGATGGTACTAAAAACTGCATTTTTATATCCACTACATTTGGTGTTATTCCAATACTATTTAGAGGTGATTTATAGTTTTCATAGTGGCCCGATATAACTTTGATTTCGAATGAAGCATTGCCTCGTTGATATTTAATTTGTGGTACCTTTGATGAGGATATATGTTGATAATCTGGATTGATCATTTTGTGTTGCTTTGGTAATGTTACCCAATAATGTATTACCCATAGTTTATTATCTTCGTTCTTTATTACTGGCATCTCTGAATGGTAAATGCCTTTTCCTGCTAATATCCATTGCAAATCACCTTCTTTTAATGTTTCGTTGTTTCCCAATGAATCAGTATGGGCCATTTCACCCTCTAGCATATATGTAACCAATTGAAGACCACGATGTGGGTGGCAAGGAAATCCATATGAATATTCTTCGGGTGATGTGCTATCGATTTCATCTAACAATATGAATGGGTTCAAAATATCCATTTCTTGGGTACCAATTAATCGATTTAGTACCAATCCACCTCCATCACACATATTCTTTTCGAATTTATATATACTGAATAATTTATTTGTTTCTATTAATCCATTTTTTTCATTTCCATCTTTTATATTGCTATTATTACTACTATTATTATTGATATTATTATTATAATCTGTATCTTCTTCGTTATATTCTTCCTCCTCTTCTTCTTCTTCTATAAATGCATCTTCATCTATGAAATCTATATCCTGTTGTTTCTTTACATTTACTATATCTTTTTTTGATATTGGTGTGGCAAAACAATCCATCATCATTTTTGAATTTATATTTCGATTTTATTATTTGTCAAATATGAAGTTGGATTTTAAAAAAAAAACTGTATAATTTTTTATTATCGAAATTTATTTTTTGTAGTTTTTTTTTACAATAGTTATAATTTATATTGGGGAAACAAAATAATGTTATTAAAAAAAAAAAAAAAAAGGGAAAAATTAAATAAAAAATAAAAAAAAAAGATTTTTTTTTTTTTTTTTAATTTTTTCTTTAAAAACAAAAAAAAAAGTTTCCTTTATTTAAATAAATGAGATAATTGAAAAAAAAAAAGAAAAAAAAAAAAAAAAAAGAAGATAATTTTATTGGGTATTTATTTAAGTTTATTTAAAAACTATTCTGATCAAAATATTATTTTTTATTATTTTTTATGTATTTTATTTATAATTATTTGCCTAATTTTTCAAACTTTACCAGAATAAAAAAATAAAAAAATAAAAAAAAAAACAGTATTTGTTTTTTTTTTGTTTTTTTTTTTAATTTTTTTTTTTTAATTTTTTTACTTTTTTTTTTTTAAATTTTTTTTTTTTTTTAATTTTTTTTCTTTATTTTAATTAAATAATATTTTATAAAATTATAATATAACAACAACAAACTACAATAAATTAAATTTTATTGTGCTATACCTTTTTTTTATTCTTTATGTCAATTTTAGATATTTTTTATATTTATATTTAAATAACCTTTTTTTTTTTTTTTTTTTAATTAAAAAAAAAGGAAAATTAAACACATCCACACAACCATATTTATTTTTTAAAACCATACACAATAACAATTTAGCATCGAACAGTGTATAAAAATGACAAAATATCATTCATATAGTCATGCGGGTAAGTTTTTTTTTATTGATTTTTATTTTTTTTGGTTTGTTAATAAATTTAATATTATCTAGATGGAAGTCATTTACAGCCTTGTCAATATCAACAACAGATACCATATTTAAAACAACAGCAAATGCAGCAAGTTCAACAACAACAAATTCAACAACAACAAATTCAACAACAACAAATGCAGCAGCAACAACAAATGCAAATGCAACAACAACAAATGCTAATACAACAACAACAACAACAACAACAACAGCAACAGCAACAACAGCCAAAGAAACAAAAAACAAATATTTTAAATATATATAAAGAAGGAAAGCAAAAAATTATGATGTCTCTTTATAATATCTATAGAAATTGTAAATATAGTTATAATTCAATCTTTTATTTATAATTCCAATTCTTACTTTTTTATTTTTTTTTTAGTTCCAACCGAGCCTCCATCATTTTCATCTTCTCCTATTTGGATGATGGGCAGGTGCTATGAGATCAATAATAATAATAGTAATAATTATAATAACAATAGTAATAATGGCTATATAGCTAATAATAGTAGCAGTAGTAATAGTGGTCTTAAATCAAGCCTTTTTCAAAGTTTATTTAATAGCAAAGATAGTAATAATAGTAATAATAACAATAATAATAATAACAATAATAATAATAGCAATAATAATATTATTAATTATAATAATACAAATAGTTTTAGTACATTAAATAATAATATTATACAATCAAATTTTTTAGATGATGTCAGATCATTAATATGGTTTAGTTATAGAAAAGATTTCCCACCAATAGAAAACACAACAATTACAACAGATATTGGTTGGGGGTGTATGTTAAGAACTGGTCAAATGATTTTAGCAAGAGCATTATTAAAACATGTTATCCAGATAATGGTAA